TCATAATTTTATTATCATTAGTTCAAAAAATATATTTTCCTTTTACAATATATATTAATAAAAATAATAGATTTCTTCTATAATAATGTTTAATTGATTTTATTTTGTTCATTCATTACAAGATAACAGTTCAGTTTCAGCGACTTCTCAATTATCATTATGTACATACATGACTAATTTATCTGTTTCAAATTTAGAGTTACCAGTCTCTGCGAAAGGCCCATCCTTGGACGAGATAGTATTAGACATTGATTCAAAGATATTTGATGAGTTTTTAGAGAATTAGAAGCAGAGAGGATTCAGATAAGTGTTGCTGCTTAACTTTTTTATTTGAAGATATAGCATATAGCATGTGCGACGAAGAATGATTTTTAACTCTGAATTTCTTACAATTAGATATTAGGGCTGTGACTCATTGTCAGACAATTTAAACTTATTAATAGAAAAAGTGTAAAAAATTAGTGAAAAATTTCTCATATGAATGCTTCCAATTTTTCAGATGCCTAAACTGACTTTTAAATTTCGCGAAATTTTGTACAGTCGCAAATGCAAGTATATTTTGTGAATTGTATTATGTATTATTTACTATTTGAATTGAAGGGAATTCAAATTTTATCCCGCAACAATTCTCTCATATGTAAATAGATGTAAGAAAAAATGTTATTTCGTTAAATTTCCTTAATTGTATCACAATTAAACAAAATAAATTGACATATATTAATTATAGATTATTTTAGAACCTATACATTTATATCTAACGAAATATGCTTAATAAAATTCATATAATTCATAATATAGGTTCATCTTTCTTTAATACTGCAGTAAATTTTTTATAGCAAGCAAATGTTGATATAAAAGCATCTGCTAAAATACTATATTTTTTAATGTAAACTTTGCTCTTTCCTCTTATCAATAAACATGATAACTTTTGCATTTTTTTATTCTGATACAGTTAAAAATAGCAGTTTATTTCTAACTGAAAAAATCTCAAATCAAAATATATTAATTCTTTGAGATAATAAATATCACTTTTAAGATTTTTATAAATTAAAACAAATTATAAATTTTATATTTTAATTGCTTAAATGTGTGTATTTTTCTTTTGTATGATGCTTTCTTTTATATTTTCATTTATAACACCTACCTGCAATAACAGGTTGCGTGTACTTGTCAATAATAACATTCTTTCATCATGACGGTGTTTTGGCAGATCGTAATGTTGAAGCGTGGATCACACAAATCAGTGTTAATTTTCAGTTCCCGTTTTATGTACAAAGCTATCACAATCACAACATCAAAATTAACTTCGCAAAACGTAGCGCCATGCAGTGGAGATTTGGAGAACCGTGACACTTGATTGCTAGGAATACTCACCGTTAGGATATCGTGTGGTGTGATGCCGGCATGATACTCTCTTTCTGAACAGTTTCGATTCGCCGAGTATTCGTTAGAAAAGTCGATTAGAAGAAAAATTCAATTTATACATAAGTCTTAATGAACTGAAATAAACACTTTTCAGGTGAGCGGTTCTTATATGATTATTACAAACACAAATTTACTTGCGCTATTTCTTGTTTTGAGGTTATCTGTGTTCCAAAATGTGCGCCGCGACGTCGCGATACTTACATAATATAAATTTTTAGCGTGAGCGAGGACCACAACGTTTGTTAACGAGCAAGCGAGCAAGATATTCGCCGGCGATGGATCCGGGCTTCTTCAAGAGAAGAAGGAAGGAGAGGTTATACGACATGATGCACAAAAGCGCTGTGAGAGTCTGTATGGGTGTCACAGCGTTTAGCACCCTCTTCCTCTTTTATAAGGTGTACGAATATTTTCGATACGTTCGACCCTTGAAAATGGTACAAAGTAAACTGGTTGAAGATGAGCTCCTGTTCGAGGGTAGGAACATAGAAGATACATCGAAAAATATGTCATAGACGGAACACCACATACTATCACACAGTCGAGATATCGTATATGTGTAAGCAATTCTTTTCATATATAACAAAAGAAATGAATACAGTGAATGATTTAATGCAGAGCAATGTATTTTCAAGAATGAATATATTTATAGTCTGTGTACATTTGAGGACTGTAAATAAACTTATGTACATAAGTCTCATATATATATATATATATACACATTAAAATTATGCTTATTGTAAATAAACTTCGTAGCTTTATTTTGTATAACAGATATAGTTTTATATACTTTATTTATTATTAATTTTATAATGACCATGTATTTTATGTGTCATATTTGGAATTACAAGTCTTCAATAATCTGTATTTCTTTTAAGGCTCGACTCTTTTGAGGTGCCAGATTGATTGTATGACATCAGAAGCAAGAAATGACATGCAATAAATTGTTATATACAGCTTTATTTTATAGTTTTTCTCTAAAAATATAATTTCGTAATCTTGAAACCTGTAAAATATACAACAGAGACATCTGTCTGATATGTCATGTAGAAGTGTAAAATAATTTCTAAAATAATAGCGGCACAGCAGTTTTTAACAGCTGAAAAATGTATCATTATTATTAAAATTGTACCATCGAGAGAGCCAAGCCTTAAATTATAGATGACAAATTACAAGAAACTACAGATTGTAGAAAAGAAAAGAAATATAAGTTATTTATGAGAAAATACACCACGACACAATTTAAATGATACTCTGCAGGAATATCCTATGATTAATTGACTCGTAATTTATTATATTTTCTTTATTTGAGAAGTTTTAATTGCAGTTACTTCAATCCCCGCTTCCCCAATATGAAATAATTTAATTTTATGCTATTGTAGAGTTTATCTCTCCATTATATAAAAAGTATATTATGAAAAATCTGGCCCTGAGAAAATTTCGCCGAAAACGGTGTTAAATTTTGGACCTTGAATTTATAGCTAAAATTTCAGTATTCATGAAACTTGTATGTCAGCCACAATTCTGACACCAATCTCAATTAGCACTAATTATAATTAAATGTTTGCCATGTATCTAAACTATAAGCTTTTTTTTAATATAAGAATCTTATAGAAAGGCATGTAAACATTTTTTAATTAATATAATATGGAAGATAATTATTCTGCGAAGCAGAATTGACAAGCTCGCATTGTTCGGTGCGATCGAACTTGAAACAAACCTTTACGGGATGCACCGAATATTTTTATTTCCATTATTTTCATAGATTCTACTTTCTATCAATAGGCATGAATAGCTTTTGGAATAATTTAGTAATGTGTGATATATAAGATGTTTTTTTGAGGAACTTAATATTGCTTCCTCTGCTAAGATTCTCTCATTACATACAAAAAAAAAACATCCACTACATTTAACGTTTGCACAAAACGCGTTGGAAATCATTGTTCATTTTAAACGTAATGAATTCTATTAAATTTGGAACATCTCGCAGCTAATTTGCACGATATCGAAATATGTATAAAATTAATATTACAGTAAGAAATATATAAAAGCAGCAATCTCTTTGCCTTGGTTAATCTCAGAATTGACTGTTGTATAAATTTGTATAATATATTTACATTCCTTCAAGAATATGCCAATATGTTGATGTATTAAAAATTATATACCGTCCATTTTTACTTTATTAAAAAGATACTACTAAATAGATACACTATTTAACACTAAAAATAGTGACAATTTCTTATTCATCATAATGTACTATTAATGACAAATAATTCTCAGAATAATTTCTCTTACACAATAGGATTAATCACTTTTTTTACTAGACAAAGAATTCGTGACAATAGAGGGATAATTCTCAGCAATTAAAATCTCGTTATAAAATTTGTACAATAAATAAATGTCTTACAATGTCTTACATCTACTATTTACACTTGTATCGGCTGAGTATACATCTTATGGTTGTTCTACAATGTCCTATTTGTTTCTTGTTTCTTGCTTTTTACCTTTTGCTTTTTTCCTCTTTGTGATCGTTTTATCGACAGTTATATTTCTTGATATGTGTTTTCTGTTTCTTCTGAAGTTCGTTAACGTTTATCTCGAGCAACAGAAAACGAAAAACGGGATAAGAAGCAAAAAGGCAAGATACAAAAAATAGCAAAAAGCAAGAAACAGGAAACAAAAAGCACATTGTAGAATAGGCTTTATATTTGAAAAAACACATAATGATAAGCAGGCAGTTTCTTTTTTCTCAATGTCAACGTAAAAGCGATCAAAAATCATCGTTCTAGTATAATAAAAAATACTACATTCTTAATGAGATAGTAACTAAAAAAACTACTCTATGTAAGTTGCATAGAAGGCAATGCATTTTGTACGTCAACTGGTAATATTTACTCTTGAGTACAAAATACAGTGTACTGAACCATCTTATATGTACATTGTATGTTCTTGCATAATGGACACAATTTGTACTCTATTCTTTGACATTTTCAGCTTTACAAAATAGTGCACTTTGAGAAAACATTCATATAAACATCAGTGTCTAGCCTGAAATACGCTATAACTGAACAATTTCCATGTATTTAATGTAATATTATCTCAAGAGTACAATTATGTTTCCATCTAAATTAGGTTTTTGTGCGTAAAATAAACGTATATTTGATAATATAATTCTAAAGGGAAAAGGATACGGCAATATCTTTAAATTCATTTAGATTATCAAACTGATTAAATATATTAAAAATTAAATTATAAATAATACGTATAGACGATACTTTTGAATAATGCACATTTTAAAGAGATTTCAAAAACCGATTTTATATTTCAGAGTTTTTCTTTAAAGGTCTATTGTTATATATTCACGAGTATCTTCCATACGTATGGTATACAAGTGTATCCTTATTTTTCATCATAAAATAAAATACAAATTAATAATTTATGCGAACTATTTCTTTTACTTTTGTTCATTACATTCAAAATAGAAAATAGATATTGCTTCATCTCTTTTTATAATTTATTTATAAAAACTGAAGTAAATTGTATAACTAAAATTATAAGACAAGCCAGAAATCGCAAACATCCAAATTTGATAAAATATACCAATATGGAAATCGTTCATACATTCAGATACTTCACGTAATTAAGACGTTTGATCCTTCCTATACATTTACATTCAATCAAATACTTGCACAAGCCCTGTAGCTCATAGGTTAGAAACGTTCTGGAAACACATTTTGGAAATCTATTGATACATAGAACGGTTATGAATTATTCGAAGGATTTAAGTTCGATTCTACGCGCATTGAATCGATTTTGGCAACAATTTTTAATGCTGGACCTAACTTTATGCTCATCGCCGACATAAGATGGTCTTCCTTCAGTAGCATAAGAGCTTGGCCATCAATTTCCTGAATAGCAAAGTCCTCTGCATAATCAGCACATCCTGGTAGACCGCGTATGAACTCGCACACTTCACCCACCTGCATGAAATACGCGTAATTTTTTACAATTTCGCTCGTGTTGAAGATATTCAAATATTTTTTAAGCGAAAAATCTTATAAAAATATCTCATTACCGTCCATTTAATCGGATTCACTTTCGGCAGTGATTCATCAATAGAGGATGTAGTAGTCGCAGATAAAGACCTCTCCTCGCCGTTTTTCTTCATCATATCATTGTCAATAGTTTTAGTTTCAGTCTCTATTTCAATCCACTGTTTCTCCGTCCCATCGCGCTCTCGTGCTTCACGTTTTTTACTGTAAATAAGACGATATATTTTTTATTAAATAGAATTTACAAAAGAAAATATTTAGAAATAAGTAATTTGGCATATCATGTTTACTATTATAAAGTATGCTCTCACCTCTTTGCACACATCGATGAGCAGAATCGCTTTTCTTTCTTTAACCTGACGTTCTGTTCGTCAATCGTATTACCGCAGCTTTCACATTTATTATCTTGATCACTGGTTCCATCATCTTCGTTCGAATAAGAACAAAGTTTCTTTTCTGTGGTAAAGATTTTATATTAGCTTGAACTTAAAATGTTACATTAATCATTTGTGAGAGTAATTTACTTACTTGGAGGTTCTTCGTGTATGTCTTTTTCTGTGATCGTATTATTCCGATTAAGGATATTAGTAGTTTCTTGACTCACCGCGAACGGTTCTGATGCTGCAACATAGATAAGAAAAATGTTGATGTTTAATATTATTCGTGAAAGTGACATTTAATGTGCCAATTAATACATATAATTGATAAACATATATAAAAGACAAGCGGCTATACCTTCCTGTATCACAAATCCTTCTATCACATGTGTAAGAACCTGCGGTTTCACCATGGCTTTAGGCGGCGCTTGTTTATTATTATTCACTATGACTGTTGCGGAGATCGGTATAATTTGTGAGTCATCGCTGACCACAACACCATTCGTAATAGCGTTCACTGTATTGGCAAGCCCTGCTAACGGGTTATTGCACTGTTTCTCATCCACTTTTGGAGCAATCGTTTCATCGTCCTTTACTGTCGTTTTACATTGATCTCCATCTGTATATAAACGAGCACAAAACCATTTATATCTTCATTCTGCATGAATTGTATCCAATAAATTTATTAATAAAATGAGATCAATACCCGTTATTTCTGACTGAAGTGGTGCCGTGATATCTTCCATAGGAATAGGTACGTCTTCTTTTTTCGTAGTTAGCTTTACGCTATCATCAGTTATTAACGGAGAATTCGTGGTAGACGGTAATATCAGAGAGCACTCAGCCTGCGAATTACGATCCGGCGACGTGATCATTATCGTCGAGTTGTTATCGTGCGTTGATTGATCCTGTGTTGCATTCACGATTGGCATCGCTTGAACCTGCGACGCACTGCTTATTAGTTGATTGCCAATAATCGTTGGATTAAGGGCCTAAAAATAGAGTATTCATTATTATTCTTGATTTTGCATTTTTATTCTATGATGTAGAGAAAAAATGTAATAAATTTTATTATCATCTTATGCAACATAAATAAATGTTCACAAGGCCAGTAATTTCCGAATAGGCATAGTAATTAATACCGGTAAAGGAAGTTGTTGCATAGTCGACATCGCAGTTTGTGGCATTGGATTCATCTGCGATGTAGCAGCGATCCCAACCCCAACTCCAACTCCGCCTACCGAGACTACCGGCATAATTGAACGATCCGCTCCTAGGACAACGCCAGGTGGTGGTTGTTGCAACGTCATATTTGCTGTATAACAAAATTTTTTTATATTATAATACTGTCAAATAGTTTCTATGTTTATACTTCATATCAATAATTCTTTATCTCGATATTGGTACCATAAATGTTCTGTGAATATTAACTTGAATAAGCGTTCTTACTCATGATAGGCTTAGTCTGTAATTGAGACGATTGCACTTGTTGATACTGTTGTTGTAATTGCTGCTGTTGCTGTTGCGTATGTTGCTTCTGTTGTATGAAGACTGGCTGTTGCTGTATCGTTGGTTGGGCTTGCTGTTGCTGCTGTTGTGGAGGTTGTATCGGCTTGCCACGGCCTTTCCCGGTAGCGTTGTTACCTTTACTCTAGATATTTAAGAAATAATGATACTGTTCTATATATATATATATACATATATATAAATTATCTATTATTTTATACCATTGTTTTTACTATTATGCTAACAGATGCATAATTATGGATTATTATTTATTGTCGTGTAGTCATCATGCAAGAGTTATAGCGTTCAAGCATCAGGGTATTGATCATGTAACTTTCCCTAGAGCAGAAAAGTGCAAATTTTTTGTATGTGTGTATATGTACATACATACATACATACATACATAAAAATTTGCATTTGTCACGTTTTCGCTTTAGAGAAAGTTACATGATCGATACTCGATATGTTGTAATACTCGAAAATTTTAATTTTGATTTACTTTTCACGTTATTTTTTTTTTTTTTATTATAGAATAATACATTTTTATATATCACATGGATTCAAGATAAAAATTAAATATGTGCGCTGATAATTAATATAGTAACCTGTGCTTGTACTGTAGCTTGTACTCCATAAACAGTTTGTGTGGAGACGGAACTGGCGGCCCGTATATTGGCAGCCAAAGACGACGGCAAGATACTCAACGGTCGCTGTATAGTTGTATTCGGTTTACCTTGTTGAGACTGCTGTTGCTGGATTTCCATCACTTTAGCAGGTTTTCCACCAGTAGCTGTTATCTGTTGTACACCTTGTATCTGTTGCTGTGTCGCGAGAGCTAACCCGAGAAAATAATAAACGCGAAACTTGCATTTATCATTATATATGAATTTTGTTCACGTATTATAGAGAAAATTAAATAAACAATTATAAACTGAAAAACATTAAATTCTTATTTTAAAAATATTTAGAAATATTAACGAATGTGGGAGACTGTAAATACTGACCATTGTGCGCCTGTATCGGCTGTGGACTTTGTATAAACATATCAGTTTGTGTGGGACCGCGAATGAATATTTGATTAGGCGCGGCAGTGAGCAGAGTCGGTTGTTGCAATCCGGTGGCCCATACTTGAGGTGCGAATTGCCAGGGCGCAAACTGCATACCACCAGTTCTTCCACCTGAAGGTGTTCCAGTGGTGCACGCTGTATACTATTTAAAATATAATATTATAGAATGTGTATAAATGCAGCTGGTAATATTTAAGAAATGCTATGCAAACATAAGATATGTTTAATGATTTACAATAAATGCTTCTTTGCTATTATATTTACCTTTTGTACTTGGTCTTGCTTATTCGTGGATTGCTGCTGTTGCTGCTGCTGTAATGAGGGTGGTGGTTGTGGAGAACCTAATACACCAAGTTGACCGAACACTAGCGTCTGTCCGGCACCGGGAGCGGATGTAGGTACTGGTAAATAGCCGGCCGGAAATCCCGGGACTTTGGTGCCACCGGCATTTGGATGAGCACCTCCTTGTCCAGGCGTGGATGTCGTAGCCAACATGTGAGGAGTGAGTTGAGCTGCAGACTGAAATGGCTTTCCAGCTGTTATTACCTGTAAAATATGCATTGTTTTTTAAAACTAGAAACGCAAATCTAATAATTATTAAATTATTAAAGAGAGAGATATAGTTCAGCGCGTATTAAGCTTTAGGCATAAATTACATCTTCAATAAAAATTAAAGAAAAGTGGACCGTACCTGAATAGAAGAGGGATTTATGCCTGCCGGATGGAGTGCTAAGTTTCCTGGCATCAATAAAGGTGCACCTTGAGTATTATACAATTGTTGTAAATGATAAGCTTGACTCTGAATCGGCTGTTGAATCACTTGGACCGCTTGTGGATGTGCAGCCATCGTAGTTATGGTGGTTGCACCTTGTTGACCAGATAATGTCATGGACACACCTCCTACTCCCTGTTGCTGCTGATGTTGCATCGATACCGCAACAGCTCCCTGCAACTTTTTTAATGACGAGAGTAAAAGATTGGGTGCATTCAGCGGACTCAACAGAGCGCTCGCTGTTATTGGTGTATTCTTTTAGATCATCCAATCATAATTTTAGATCTAGAAGAATACGTCAATAGCAGCGAACGCTCACTCAACTGTTGAGTCCGCTGAATGCAGCCATTGAGAGATATCCTCATGTGAAGGTAAAAACCGAAGAATACAAATAATGTGATAATTCAAAACATAATTAAATAAAATCAACCAAATAAAATATAAATGAAAATATCAATGTAAAATTATAGGGGAGAGCGGTCTAAATCGGACCTATTTGCAGTTTCTGCTCTCTATAAGGCGTAAATAAAGTCCGATCGTAAAATCGAAGCTGCCGTTGGAAAGATCATTTAATTCCCTTCATTTTTGCTTCGGATTATTTTGACGTATCTTTTACCTGTGTTAAACTATAATGGAAAATGTAAAAACGCTCTTTCCAGTCAACCATCGGACCATCCCCTGGTTCAGATCGAAAATTCTTATTTGTATGGATTTTTAGATAAAATTTTAAAATATTTCTCTTAGGATTGAGTAAAAACGAGCAATTTGACAGTCAAAGATAAAAATTTTTTTGGAAAAAGAAATTACTGACTGTTTTATATTATTAGAATTGAAATCAATAAAATTCAACTAATCTGAGTCTGATGACTCATATTTTACTGATTTAATTGCTTGGACCAGATCTGATCAGTCAATCACCAGTATTACAATCAGGCCTATAAGTTATTCACTGTACTGTCTGATTTGGACACGGGTCCTTTCGAACTTTGGAACAAATTTTACAATAAACCGCAAAAGTAATCACGAAATGTTTGATATTTTTTAATTCTATACTCTTTAATTATCTTAAATCAATTATTTTTCAAAATTTTAACACCCTTTAAATGATGATTTACAAGGATTATCTTTTTTAAAAAAATTTTCGCACGATGACTGAAAATACATATTTGCCTCTATTTTATGAATGTTATGACAGAGAACTATCAAACTATTATCGCATATTCGGTGTCTTATAAGGACTTTACGTTATAAATAGTACACAAATCTGCTTAACCATATTCATTTAAATTAAAAAGGTCCTATTTGGAACACGGTCCGATTTAGACCACTCTCCCCTACTGTAACTACATGTTAATGTAAAATTATTTATAAAACAGAATAAAGTACAACTTTAAAAATACAAATTAATAATTACTTGTTGCGGCATGCTGGCAGCAACCTGTGGCTGAACTTGTACTTGAGTAGGAACAACATTGTGAGTTCCGTTATTTTGCTGCTGTTGTTGTGGCTGCTGTGGCTGTTGTTGTTGTTGCTGCTGCTGCTGTTGTTGCTGCTGGACTTGTTGCTGTACCTGTTGTTGCACTTGCTGTTGAACTTGCATCTGCTGTTGCGACTGGACCTGCGACTGCATCTGCTGCTGCGGCTGAACTTGCTGCTGCTGCACCTGAGGTTGTTGCTGAACCTGTTGAGGTTGCTGCGACTGCTGTACATGCTGTTGCTGCGGCTGGACATTCTGCTGTTGTTGCTGCAGGTCATGAGTCGCGATCATCATTTGTTGCTGCTGCGCTTGTTGCGGCTGCTGTGATTGCGATTGTGGTTGTGCTTGTGATGTCGAAATTCCAATCGGTTTAACATCTGTCATGTTTCCTTATACTTTTGCGTAATTAGAATACAGACGTTCTTTTAGAAAAAGTAGCTTTCGCTGGTAGTATTCAATTGCAAATTGTTCTTTTTCTTTGCCATTTTACATCCATGCTTATTTCAATCTGCCCATCATGCCGCATCTGCAATACATAGATTAAAAGAAATAAATTTCTGGATACTCCAATCAGTTCCATTTTTTTCACGTGCATGTTCCATGCAAGACATCAAAGATATTATTTTCCTTTTAAAGTTTACTTTATCGTTGATTAAAGCGAGATTTTGTATTTATTCATAAGTAAATAAGTAGTATTTATGCTATTGGAAGAATATTTAAACTGCTTCCGCATTGTGTACGCACAGCATTATTTATTTTCATGTTCGAATGGAAATATCGCGGTGGGGTGCCTACTTCACGATCGAACTCGGGCTCGAGAGTCGAGAGATGAGCGTGAAGTAGCCATCGACGCCGCGCCATAACCTTTGTCGACACTCGACAGACGAGTACGCGTACTTGTGGACCCGAGTCGGGATTCTCGCAAGCGAGGCTACTGTACTGGTGCTCGGGAGTGAAGTGTGCCCTACGTTGCATCTTTTTTCGTCTCTCTCGACAATTACGCACGCGGAAACTTTTTCTCGGTCCAGCAAAGTAAGTCTCTCAGAAGTTATCGACGGTTCGTCGCGCTTCTCCTGATTTTCGCCGCGCAAGAGTAACGCGCGAGATCAAACACGGCGAGTCAAAGCATATATATGTTTTTGCTGATCCGCTCGATAACTCTGTCGTGTTAATGTCGTACCCGTTTGCTTTTTTCGCTCGATTGAACGTCGTTTTATCATAATAGGCTTTCATCATTGCGAGAATTAAACTGAGCGAATAGGTTATGAGGATATCGCGGCTATATATATATATATATATATATATATATATGTATGTATCCGGACCAAATAATTGTGCTATATAATTAATACGTAATTCCTATAGAGAATACATCAGTATTTCTGTGATATTGAAAGTACATTTCGTGCAGCAATAATTATTTGCTATAAATTTGTGTTGGCTACATGATAAGGATAATGCTGAGTATCTTGAAACGCTTAAACATTTTTAAACATGTGGAGACATACGACGGAAGTAGTGATTTTATCACTGTTTTCCTAGAAGAATACAGACATTGCAGAATATTATAAAAATATTAATCGCTGTTCAACGGATAAGCCTGAGTATGATTTTTATACAGTTGTCCACTTTTCATCGAATTTCATCATTTTATTCCAATATTATTGCAGTTTAAATTTGATGTTCACTTATTAACTTTTCATCCAATATTATTTTATATACAGGGTAAAATATAAACATGGGTCTGTTATAGAAATGCTTATGGCGAATTCGATTGGAAGCACTAGTGCGGACTGGTGCATATTAAACCTGTTGTACACCGATTTAATTTGAGTATAAAAATGAAATGCAAATATTTCGAATTATGAAATATATATTTTACCTAATTAATACAATAAAATGTATTAGGTATTTCACGATTTAATCAATTTCTATGTTTATTTATAAACATATGTTTACATTATTTTGTGTATGACGGCTTTAATGTGCACCAGTGTGCACTGAGTGCGTCCAGTCGAATTCGCTATTAGTTTTAGTAGGAGGAATTTTAACAATGTTATAACTTTGATTTAACAATACCATTAACATTTAATGAAACAATTAATGAAATGTGTAATAAATATTTAAACATTTTATTATAAAAATTATTCAAAATGGTCTCCTTCACATTATCTAGCATTATAGCTTTTAATCTGACATATATTGTTTACAACTTTATACGTATATACATTAAAACTCATTACAACTTTATATGCATACATTATTGTCAACTATAAAGAAAAAAGATTTGAAAAACCTTTAATAATTCAAAATTAAGCGTTTCTAGCTTAATGTTAAAAAATGTTTAAATGTTCATTATTTGTTTCATTAAATGTTTGATATTGTTATATAATAAAATTCTTTCCATCTCAAATACTAAGCGTTTCTAGATCTATGTTCATATGAGCTTTTTTTTTTAAATGTTTGGTTGATGAAAATTCTCTCTCTCTCTCCCTCCTCCCCTCTCTCTAGAATATTAAACACTTATTAATTTACTAAATAAAAGAAGGGCTATGAGCCAATTATAATGTAAAATATTTAATAATTTAAAATTCGTACATACAAACGTTTCAACACCGATCGGATCATTTTCAATGTAAAACAATATTACATAAATTATCGGAAAATTCGGTCACATTATAATGTCCAGTAAAAACGTCCAGTAAAATTATCATAAAGGTGATCTCATCTCACTTTTCACAATTCTACAATCTTAAATTGTCTTAATGATGTAAGTTAGACGCCGAGAAGAAAACACAATTAACAAAGTTATATTTAATAAAAAGTAAGCCACAATACTATGGATATAACATTTATCCACGACGATGTACAGCGACGTTATCTAACTTATTAATTTACATCCTGAACATTCCATTATTATTGGAGTATCATTGTAGTTACAGTATCATGATGGTGTAATTTTGTATCAAATTTCATTTAAATTTTATCATTTTACAGTATTATTTTATGTATTTTTTATTGCATTCCTAAAACTTAAGATTATATAATTTTACATTTAATCTCATTCTAATCTTATTATAATATTGCTGCAATATTATATAGTTTGTTTTTAAAATATTTTTTAATTTTAATTCTGTTAAAAACATATATATATATATCTATTTTGTTTCAAATGCAAGAGTTGTAAGAATGTACTGATATCTAATACATCAACACAACCAAATGTTGCAAATTTACTTTCTGTAATTTCTATCTCTTCTCTATAATAAACTACAATTATGAATCAATTGTATGTATATCATTAATGTATTATTGAAAAATAATTCTATTCTCGTAGAATAGTTCCATTAAGCATTATTTTTTATGACAAAGAAATATCTATTTTCATTCCCTTTATACAGGATGTCTAAGGCTAATGTGTCATCTAAGGACTTTAATCAGTTTTGTATCTCACTGAAAAATGAGGGAAATTATATCATTTGTCGCAAATTTTGTATTAAAAATATTTTCAACCTTAGAGATAAAAATCCGTTAAAATAAAAGTCCACATGAAATCGAATAAAGAAAAAAAAAATTTATCTACATATTTGGAAAGATGTAACAAAAATAAATTTGTTCGCTTCCTTTTCTTATGGAAAAATCAATTTTCTAATTGCTTAATTTGCTCGATGAAAAATTTTTAGACGAAAAGTGGTTCGTAACAAATCCGAGATTTCCTGCAGTGCGGAAATGGAATATTATTTCAGAGTGAAACTGGTATAAGGAATGTCGATACACGACCTTCATGTAAAAGGTATGATTTTAAACACGAGGTACCCTTTATAACGTCGAGGCTCAACGAAGAGAGATAGAGAGAGAGATAGAGAGAGAGATAGAGAGAGAAAGAGAGGGAGAGAGAGAGAGAGAAAATAGAAACGTGTCGTGATTCGAAAAAGACACCGTTAATAGTGGAAGAGGAAAGAGAGGGGAGAGAACAGTCCGACGCCGAACTCGTGCGGTAACGTAGAGCTCTGCATATCCCGTCATTCGAATAAAAACTATCCCGGGAATATCGATCCGGCGCAAACACCGACGATTCCATTTTGGCATGTGCGTGCGCGCGCGCGCGCGTGAACGAACAAAATGTCGCCCCAATCCATATATCCACCATAATTAGTGGCACGATAATAGCGATAGCGAGAGGGAGAAAAAAGGGAAGGGGGGAAAAACACAGAGATCTGTAGGAGAGCGGGAAATACGATTGAAAGGCGGATTGGCCAGACGGAGAGGGGATGGGATGAGAGAAGAAAGAGGAAAAATTGAAAGGGAGGGGAAATAGAAAGAGATAGAAAAAACCAACTGTGCCAGGGGGACGGCTGACACATGGATCTCGCCATAATGGCAATCTGTAAGGTAATAATATATACGGACAATTGCAATAACAAGAACACGCTGGAGAGCACGCGAGAAAAAGAGACGTTTTTTTTTCCTGCGACGCGTTCGCCTGAAAGTGCAATAAAACATGTAACGCTGGCGTCACACGCATGCACGTATCCGGTCGCTGCGAGTCCGTCCCTCCATGCGAATCCAAAGTGGCGGCGCGCGGACGCCGACATATTGAATTACAAAATAAAGAACACCGTTCGGAGAAGCGACGGGATGAGTGTGCGAGAGAGAAGAAGAGAGAGAAAGAGAGGAGGGGAGGAGGGAAACAGAAAGAGACAGACAAAGCAGTGTTATCGAACAGTTGCAGCGTGTCGACGGACCGTCGTCGCGGTTCGGCGAAGATCGTCGTCGGCGCGGTAATCGAACATTCCGCAAAGTAGTTGGTTCAAAAGTTATTTTCTTTTCGCGTCGAACGTACAGCACCCACGGAGGTATGGCGAAGGGGTGGATACCCTCGACGACGACGATGACGCCACCACGAGTCGACGTAGCCTCCGACATGGATGTCTCGCTCTAACTTTTATCAGGTACTCACATGGCGACTGCGCAGTCACACCTATATACACGCTCCGGCTGGTTGCGCGCGTATGTGAACGTACACGTGTGTGCGTGCACGTAGATGCGCGTGTGTATGTGCGCACCGACTCACACCACACCACCTCGCTTGTCCGTCGCAGCGCACGATGCCCAACGGCGTGTCGTTCGCTCGCGCAAAGTGTTTTCACTTTTTACGAATCACCGTTTCTCACCGCACGACGACACCCCACGAATCTCGTCGACCGACTACGAAAAAGCCCGTGATAATAGTTGTCCGCCAGCGTTGCTCACTATCGGTGATACTACTGCTACTGCCGTCGCTGCTGCTAGCTGCCTCCCTGTTCCACACAGTTCCACACGGTATAATACGACTACCTCCGAATGCCCGCGCGTCCCTGACACGACCATCCCTTCCAGTGGCCACCTTCCCGCCGCGCGTCGCGCGTCGTCCAGCGTGCCTGCTGATTGGTTCGACGAGGACAAATCCCAAAGGCATCGTCCGCGTTGAGAAAGGCGGAGCCATTGGATATGGTGGCTATAGGCGCATGCTCACTAACGGTACCACGTTCTCTCTCTCTTTCCCCCTCTCTCTTTTACGATTTTTATTTACTATACATAGTACATACCTGCAAAATGAGCACGCACACAGATTCACAAACCATTTGTTCCTGTACGTATACAGATCTAGAGTCCCTGCCATATTTCACAGCATAGCATTGGTAGAAACGTGCAAAGTTTTCCGAGTGCCCTGGTATTCCATTTTACACGTATTTTTCCAAAATTTTTTTCTCTTCTTGCCAAGAATTACTTATTAATTTTTTTCTTACTTTATACCTAATTTAAAATTTTAATTATGATGCTAATACAAATTTAGTACATTATTAATAATAATGAATAATTTGTTTGAATACATTGTTTGATTATATTACCGTTTAATCGATATTCTGTAGTTTCATTAAAAACACGTATAGTTGAAAATTGCAATCGAATATTTTGTTTATAATTTATATGGTTTTATTTGAATTTTATAACTTTTGTATCTGGTAATTCGTACATTCACATACATTCACAATAAATATATTCATTTTATATGTATTTCATATAGAATTAGTTTTTTTTTTAAAGATATAACTGATACAAAGAAACTAGCCTATTATTAAACGAATCTCTTAAATTTTTATTTCTTGTAGTGAGAAATGAGAATGCAATAAAAAATTTCCATCGATAATACATCGTTATTATTCATATTATACTGTAAACAGCTTATAATCAATTACTAATAGCTTTAATCAAGTAGAAACTTTACGTAACGACTGCATGGACAGGATTTCTAGATGAATTTTTTGTCCCACCTGTAGAAACATTTGTAATGCATGTAACATTAAGTACTTTTTATCTGAGACATCATATATAATATTATTACTGATTCAACTAAACATTGTTATATACTTATATTTACATAAACAAAAATAATTATAATTAAAATATTTAACTTATATAGTATATGATCGTAATAGCGTAAAATTAATAGTTAAACATTCGCGTATTTCTGTATTTTGTATACTGTATGTTGTTTATCATTGTGTACTTATAAATTTTCTAAATTATGAGACATCTCGGAATTTTAAACATTAAGACTTAGTTCCCCAAACCATTAAGTTTCTCCCGAGTTTTCTCTTTTTAAGAAATTTCTTATTGTGTGTTTATAACTGAACGGAAAAAACATGCAAAATGTCCAGAAAGATTTCAAATTTGACGAACAGGTTATTTGTTCATTGCCAATCTATCATACCTATACCAGTTCTACGAGTTATATTCTTTGAAATAGATGATCTTTTTCTCCTTTCTGTCCAAGACCAAAATATGCTGTATGCGAGAGAGAGAGAGAGAGAGAGAGAGAGAGAGAGAGAGAGAGAGAGAGATGTGCGTGTGTGCGTGCATGTGTATGCGAATAAAATAGGTTTTCTAACCTAACATATGTATATTGTTCCTTCCCTTTTTTTTCTTATAAAATTTTATTTGAATTACAAAATAAATTCACAAACTGATTTATTATATTAATAATCAATACATGCATGCATGTGATTTCGTTTCACATTAGTTTTTTTACTTAAATATTGCAGTTTGCAATATTTAATTTCGATACTTCAATATATACGTATAAAATACGTACTTTTGTGTTTAATTTTCTTCCAAATTGATGAAACGTATAATTATTATGGTAGTAGTTTTAAATCCAATTGCATCAAAGTGATGTGTATATGGATACATTTAACAACATTTATAATAAAATATAATATGACGTAACAAGAGTCGTATGAAGTTTAGATCTGTGGCCCCGTACGAACGCTATACGGCCCTGACGCAACTGTCTCTAAGCCGAGTTTATGCTTCCCGGCTCGAAACTCGGGACTCGCAAGCCGCACGCAATTGGCTCGTCGCGTCTTACGGGAATTTTCCACCCAATCAGTACATTCCAGTTGTTTTTTTTAACGCAACGAGCGTACGTAAGCAAAACTTGAGAAATAAAAAGCATACATCCCGCGCGTCCTTGATGCCGATGCGCGACGCGGTGTTGAGGAAAGCTCCAATTTTGATGTCGAGACCTCCAATGCCGCCATGCATAATGCATCCCGCTCCGCCCAAGGCACAGGGATCCATTCTCACATGGATCAAGGACACGAAGTGTCTCGTTATTTCGGCGATTCGGGGATTTCGGCCCTTAAAACTCATCTGCCACGTGTATCTGTATACGACGAAATAATAAATTTATCGTGTGCCGTACGCAGAAACGTTTTATTTTTAACAATCGCTGTCAAACGCAATTGAATCCTGTATGTTTAATTAATTAAGAGAATTGTCTATTAAAAATTATACGACGATTACAATGCCAGATTCAATTGTGCGACAGTGATTGTATTTCGGCAGCATTTTCTAGCTGGAATCGAAAAGAAAGAGTGGGATCACGCTAACGCGAAATACAGCGGGTTTATCATTCATTCCCCAATACCGGTCTCGGATTTCGACGCGAGGTGCGACGGTAGGACGTATCGCGCGTAGGGTAGGAAGAGTTCCTGGCTGTACCAATCCCAGTAACCAAGTCCCTGCGTTGAACGGCAGGGACGTGCGCGCGCGCGCTCACACATACGTATATGTGTGTGCCACTCGACGAGGGTCGAATCGGAGGAGATTGGTGTGAAGGAAGGGGAAGGGGAGATCACCCTATAGTCCGCGTCTATGCTATGTTGCTGAACGGAAAGAACGTATCTCGGCATCTGTAGTTTGCCGTTCGACCGTAGAGCGTGATGGCGCGCGGGTGGGAGAAGCGGCACAGCCAATGGTGTGGGTCGCGACGAGGTTGCCAGGGAAACAAGTTAATGATTCGGGCTGCCACCGGAGGAATTGGCTTGGCTTGGGTTATATGGGTACGGTCGGCGCGCGTAACGTTGTCTCATAGCCGCGCATGTGCCACACTGCCATCCTGTTCTCGCTACGGGGTGAGGGAAGGGAGAATCTCTCTCTCTCTCTCTCCCGCTCGTTCGCATCGCAGGTCGTCCGTCCCATGCTATCCCTCGATTCGTCTCGGTTACTCGATATAGCTATGGTCGATGTCCGTGAATTGGCCGCGCGTACGCTTGTGTGCGTGTCACGCTTGGCGCGTACGTACGTGAGCCCGCGCTAGTGGGCTCGCGCGTCCATGTGTTCTATCACGATTCGACCTATACATACACGCACGCTTCGTTCACGCACACGGTATATTACGTATAGGATATCGCGCGCGCGCACGGCGCTCAAGTCGTCGCGACGATTGGTTCCCTTCCTACTACTCTCGGATCTCTCTCCCGTGGTATTTTCTCCCTTCCCACCCCGAACCGC